CGAGAAGGAGCGTGTACAACCGTCGGAGGAAGGTCATTTCACGCAGCTACTACCCGAAATGAAAAAAAGTTTTGTCTAATGGATGTGTGTGCCCTGAGCTTGAAGATTTTCTTACTATGTCCCCGCCGGGTGTTTGCTGGGTCAACGGTAAAAAACCTGTTTGGCAAGCTTTGTTCAAACAGGGCGTAGGTAAGAATTAGGTCCCCTCGGAGGCGGCGGTACTCCAGGGGAAAGAGATCAAGCGTCGCGAGACGCGTTTCGTAGTCCACGGACTTGAGGCCGGCAACCATTCTCGTGGCGGCCCGCTGGACACGCTCAATGAGGGTAACGTCTTTCGTACGTCCTGAGTAGACAACTTGGTTGGCGTACTCCAGGAGCGGTCTGACGTAGGCCCCATAGAGTATTTGGAAGTCCATGCGAGTAATACGGGAGAAGGTGCGTCGGATCATCCGTAAAATGGCGAATGCCTTTTGGGCCGATTTCTCATGGTGTAGTAAGAAGTACAAGTTTGAGGAGACCCAGATTCCCAAATCTTTTTTGGTTGTTGGTCACATTCCCTAAATGTACCAACACACGTTGTGCATGAATGGCCCACTTTCGAGTGATGTGGAGCCAGGGGGCAGTCAAACGAGAGACAAAACTGGGAACTGTTCTCCTCAGGATTTGTAAATAGTGCAAAAATCTACAGTTATCTATTCCGCTGCATTATCAAAGCGAGCCATGCGGTGGAATATGTGCCGACTGCGGTTGAAAATTGTCTGCAAAAGTTACACCAAAACAACAAAACGTACGTGCTTCCGGATGGCTTGCCTTGCGTGAAAATTGCGCAGCATTATCTCGCAGCCGAATACAGCTTTGGCAGCCCGCATCTGCGAAGTCATCTTGTCCATGACGAAAGTTTTGACTTCATAGTTTCCACTCATCATATCCTTGAATAAGCTGACAGCTTGCGCAATGGCGCAAAATGCTCGCTTTCGACAAAGGCATACATTACGGGTCGACCGACGCCCATGCCATCCGTCACGAGGAATGTATGAGGCCTGTAACTTAACAGCGAAAGTCAGGGGCTCGAAATTTATTTACCCAAGGCGGTTAGTGCCGTGTGTTGCATCAACGTTTACAACATCCGGGAAACGTCTAAAGTGTGCTGTCTGCTGCGTTCAAGAAAAGCTCAGGTGACTATATCTGCCACCCTCCGATTTCACCAAAATTAAATGAGAAAAAACTTTGACGATCTAAATTCTCTACGAAATCATCCTGCGCATTTACGTGCTCAGCCATAGCAGCCATTGTAGCGTGGGACATCAAAGTGTCAGCCGTATTGGACGTTCGAGAGGATGTAGCGACGGCACACGTCAGCTCTGAAATGTGCAGATATACGGACTGGTATAAATGAATCCACACAGTATACACAGCACACATGCGCACAGGTCGGGTGGTACAGGGAAGAATACCGGAGCGTAGCAACAATGCACATGTATTAACCCGAACCGAAACCGGAAGACCGGGGTGTACAAAAAGGTGGTCGGTCAAGGTCAGTCAGGGTGGGGTTGTACAAGCGGCTATTCTTTTTTGTCCGGGGTTCGCGGTGGCTGGACCATGGAAAATGTAATGGGGAAAGAGAGAAAGAGGCACGTATAAAGTCCTGTGAGGGGCGTGCGAGCCGATACATTCGAGTTTCAAATTCGTTTTCGAGTTTCAAATGCGTTACACAATTAAAATATGAATATCGTGGGCCTTGAATATCGTGGAGATTGAGTAGGTTCAAACAACTTTTAAAAAAACGGCGGCCGTTTGGGAAGATCTCATACGCCCGAAAAATTACCATCAAATGTTATAACTTTATGTTAAAGTTTTCCTCCTTTGAACCACGGTTCCAGAGAAATTTTGGGTGTGCGTCTAGCCGTCGGCACATATATATTGGGGACTCAAAATAGGGAAAAGTGTCCAAGCGGCTTTCCAGAACGCACTTTGATGTGAGTTAGAATATCGCCGAAAATAGCTGCCGGTCAATCGTTGCTACACTTCCTGACTCCTTCAATGATACGACACTGCCCGGTTTAAAAAACGCCCTTTAGGTGCATACAATAGGTATGCGGTCGATGAGAACTTGTGCGGATATATGTGAGCATAAATGACGTTTATTGGCTAGGTTGTGTGCAACTAAGGTAGCTTGAAGCTTGCAGAGATATCTGCCGGTGTTGCTTGCTTGTACGATGATTCGACCTCAGAATGGAGCTGTTACAGCCTAAAGAAAAGCGTGGGGCTTTGCAAAACCAGTTGCCTCTGAGGCGTCACATCACGTGTATTTTATGAGACTTTTAGCATTTTTCCCCTTCTACCAATGGATGGTCCGGTTCATAGGGTGATTGCTCGGGATATATGCCACAACCAGGGAAAGCTCACACCGGAATTAGCTTCCCCTTCCTTTGTTACAGAAGGCGGATCATGAGGTTGGTCATGCAGAATTAGTATGTTTTGGGGAGATGGCATGCACTTGAAGTGAGTGCTCTCAAAATGCAGAAAAGACTGGCATGTTACGGGACTACATGTGGAGCTCCGAAAGCTTCCATATACAAAGCATTGTCCATCGAGAGCACACTTTCTCCATCCCCGCTTAATTTCGTGATCGACGGGATAATGAGATAAACGCTGAAATGGCTTCTGAACCCAGTTTTAAAGTATCTTCTGGCAAAATCTGGTTGATCTGAAGTATGCAGACGTCGTTCTCATCCTCGAATGAACTGATCGAAGTCATTCTGTCCATTGATGTGCTCTTTGAGCCCACAGAGTGTCTCGCTATCATAACGATGTTCATTCCCAACAGGTGGGTGGTGTACCGCCAGGCATGATCGTAAGGTTAGTCGAGATAAAGCGTGGGTTTTTGTGGCTGAAGGTAATGGAACAGGTCGACGATAAGGTAATAGAAGGGTTAGGAGAAGGAAGGGTGTAGTTGCGGGTGTGCTATCAAACCGGATATAGCGGTGCCATGCCATCATTGCGTAAAAATAGTTCGGTTTCTGGACAGCATCGTAACGGGTATCATTTTTGAGATGGTTTGTCTTGAATGTGTAGTTCTGTGAGGAGATGGATATTTTTGGTTGACCGAGGAAATTCTCAGAGGTACAACGAAGCTTATATATATAAGACCTTAGGCATAGTTCTGATCAGGTTAGAGAGGTAGTGTGGTAGAGCGTTTTATATACATTCAAAAATGTATTAGTTTTTGTTGCATTGTGACAGATGAGGTCAATGCACGAACCCGCAATTTTCGGATCGCGCTTGTTAAGTTCAACCACCTATGGCGTCAAGGTGGTGTATCGGTGAATATCAAGTAACTTGTGTATCAGTCTCTAGCACGGGCTGTTCTGTTGTGTGGCAGTGAGACCTAGCCTGTTTGAGAGGCGGAAACAGGGCGTTTTTAGGTATTCGACAATGGCTGTCTTAAAACCATAGCTCGTGTGAGTCGGTGTCCTCAAGTCCGTAAGGCGACAGCTATGTAGCGATATTTCGGTTGTGCACCGAGGATTTCCATTGAAGAATGCAGCCCTGCAGTCTCCAGCTAGATCGTCATCAGTATCTGAGACAGTTGGGGCCCACCAGGTCTGGCTATCTTACTAGCTCATTTATTCATATGTAGGCGACATGATTTCGTAAGTAAGGATGCGTTGCAATACTTCGACATAAACGATGGGTTGGATGAAGCCCGTAAGGGTGCTTCTCGTTGGTCAGATTGCTACTGTGGTTGAGTAGGTGATGGTTACGGGTTCCGATGAGGAAGGCCGAGCTGTCGATTTTATTAAGCTACATTTTATCGGCATCTGAGAGCAGATATCGAGTTAGGTTGGGGCTTAGTCGTGATTAATTATGTATGTTGCCCTGTCAAGTGAAAAACAGAACTTGATTGATCACACGTTATGTTTGTACCGATGCAACGAATAAATAGAAACATGATTTGTTAAAGGTGGTTGTGTATTTTTGCAGGCATGGGGTGTTGGCAAGTATATGACGTATGGCCATGAAGGACCGCCGTTGGTGGTTGAATTAAGCTATTATGTATAGTTGGGACATTATAGTCAGCTACGAGCATGTGCACTGGCCCGGCAGTTAGTATTAGTAGCCCCAGCAGGTGAGATAGAGTATATTTATGAGTATGACGGGCCCTCGTTGACCATTGGACTTGGCTACTGGGCATAGTTTAAGCCTCATAATCAGCGTTGCACATAGACACAGGTCCTGCCATTAAGATACGTAGCCAAGGAAGGGGATGTTGACTACAGTTACGAGTACGACGGGCCGTCGTCGGCCGTTAGATTAAGATATCATACATAGCTGGAGCCTCGTTCTTATCGGCCCGCATACTGCCTGGTGTTTACTATAGATAGCAAACATAGGCGAGAGCGCGCACAGTCACGGGTATGACGAGCTATCATTGGCAGTTAAATTAGGACACTGCGCATAGTTGAGACCTAATAATCATCGTCGCATAAAAGCACTGAACTGGCAATTTCAAAAAGTAGTCAAGGTAGGCGATACCGGACTGTGTATTATCAGTATTTACCTTGATATTTGCAAGACATTCGACCAAATTCTCCACAGTGCACTCCTTAACAAATTATGAGCTACAGGGATTGGTGGCCCACTACTGCGATGGTTCGCTTCTCACCTCACTGGGAAAACCAGGCCACCAAAATCGGGGATCTCTCCTCCTCAACCCTCCTCATTACCAGTGGGGTTATTCAGGCTAGTGTGCTTGGCCCTCACTGTTCTTACTATACGTTAATAACCTCACTGACTCGATCACCCACGAATCCCGTTTTCTGTTTGCTGATGAAATCAATAAAGCTTACACGTTTAAGACCAGTGATTCTGTTCCATCCCTTGCCAACATTCAATCTGACCTGAATTCTTCATCACTCTGGTCTTCCAACTCCTGTCTTTCTTTCGCTGTTCCAAAATTCCAAGCCCTGTCACATCGATTTCAAATTCCTCCTGGGACGCTTACTCTCTAGTCCTACTCCACCCAAAGTGAGAGACCTGGGCCTTAGGTATTTGCAGTGGCTGCTTCGGTGTGTCCGAGTCAGTGCGTGTGCGTGCCCGTTCGTCGTCCCGCCATCGATCTGACTGTGACTTGAGTGGCTGATTGGATGCATGTCCGGTTGGTTGGCTCGCGTGAGCGCTGTGGGTTGACTGGATATGTGACTACGTTGTTGTGCTTACCTGTCACGAAAGCGGACCAGTTCGGCCACGTGCACTCAATACACCGGTGTCCATACTTACGTGTTCTTCTGACTTACTGTGAACTACAATAGTATCCCTGTACATTTAGCTTCAACGAACATGCAAGCTACAGAGTGGCTAAAGCTCGCAAGGTCTGCGCTTACATTCGCTGTTCCTTCCATAATAAATCCTGTTTAACTGCAATTTTTAAACAATTTGTAAGACCCAT